AAATTATAGTTGGGGATCCGTTATTTTTGTATGTTTGTATAGAGTGTTGGATCATGACGTTCATTACCATCAAGAGAACATTGGAGATTGCTCCAAGCTTGAACATGGGACCATATTACATGCATTTGTCCTAAGGTAGAAGATTTAACCAATGAGGAGATTGTTGTAGGGTATGATTTTCCATTAGCTAAAAGTATTCAAATTTATTTTATATTGTTTTATTCCATTTCTTTCTTTCATATTACTTCATTTTATAATAGTATATTTTTTTGTATTCAATAGGTGGCACGACCAGGTCAAAGGTCAAACATGATTATATATATTGTACATGTATTACGTTTAACATTTGATCAATTAGAAGCAAATGAGGTATTTCATTTAATACAACTTTCAATATGTATTTCTTAAATGATAATAATTCTAATTTTACAAGTTTTATAAAATAATACAGTTTTTGTGAACTCCTTATCGTCGTCCTGGGTTACAACAACTAATAAATGTTGAGGTTTCTCCTGTGAGTCATGCTATAGTTTTAATGATATGTTTTGCTATTGTTGAGTCTCATCCAACAAATCGGGTTATGAGGCAATTTGAACATCGCCAACCAATTCTAAAAGACCCGATCAATCTTGATAAACTTTACAGAGAAGACATGAGAGGTAGAACTGATAGATTTTGGCTTCAATACCATAAAACTTGGATTACTATGTGGAATAACCATCACAATCGACTAATTCAAGGAAACGAAATCAACGAGAATGACCACTTGCGTGAAAATATAACATATATGACATGGTATTTTCAGCATACTATCAAATATATTTCCCTTACCCAAGAAGAATATTCAGATGAAGAAGTAAGTATATTAATAACTTTATTTTATATATACAACCAGTGACTGGATCTTCTTGGAGTTGAGGGCCGTGGCCCCCTAAAGTTTTGTAACTCCCATGTAATTTATGATTTTGGCCCCCCAAACATAATGAACATTTAATATATTTACTTATATATTTACAATTTTATCCTCTCAGTTTTGTAACTCTCATATAATTTATGATCTTGTTCCCCTCAAGTTTAATGATCATTTAATATATTTAAGTATATATCTATAATTTTATCTTTTCACCATTTCATCTTCTTTCTTCCTTTTATATTTATTTCTTATTTATTAATAATATATTATTTGCCCCCCCCAAGATCAATGGTCAAGATCCGCCACTGCAACATCCATATCAAACTAATATTGATTTTATTTCTTAACAGTACGATACAGAACAGCAGGAACAATCCCAATATGTTGGTGAACATAGTCATGTCTATGTTGGTCAGTCGAGTCATTAACATGTTGGTCAGTTGAATTATCAACAACCTTATCCATATTTTGGATCGGTTGGTTAACTCCAAAATTTACCTATGCAATTTCAATTTGGAGGATAAGTTCCTCATACATTTACTTTGTTTCCATATGAAACAAACATGTTTTCCACCTCTTCCATGACACCATCATCAGCATACAATCAAACACCTTTCGTGGTTACTATGTCCAGTATGAAAATGAAGAGGATGATGATGATGATGATAATGATAGGCAAGTAAACATTCAACCTCAATCTTAACCATCACAGGGTCGTACACGTGCTACACAAGTACAACAAAAGTCTATTCAAGATCAATGACGTAAACCAAGACGACAAATAAGAAGACCACCTTGTGGGACAGAGTCTTACCATTAATTTTTCTGTGATAATGTATATGTATGTAATATTTTAATATAAATATAGTGAATTAAATTATTTAATGAATTTTTTATAAAAATTATAACTTTAATGAATTTTACAATAATTATTTTAAAAAGTATTATTTTTCTACTACCTAGAGTGTGAAGCTTTTTATTTCTACTACCTAGAGTGTGAAGCTTTTTATTTCAAAATGTTTGGTATAAGGAATTTTTTTTGTTTCTTGGTAATCTAAAATGGAAAATATCTGTTTTTCATATTTAGTTTTCTTTTAGAAAACACATTCACAAATGTATTTGATGTATTTTTTTTTTCTATGTCACCTACAAGATTGTTCACATGAAAAATAAGCAGTGAAAATCTAATTTTTTTTTAGTTAATATTTTATTACAGTAAAATAATCACATTAGTTTTATTAGATCATTTAGTTATAAAAACTTTCCCATGACTTTTTTTTTCGTCTAAAAACACTCTCATCAAAGCATAACTCTTGAAAACATTTTGAATGAAAAAAATAACTCCTAAAAAGAATCTCATCCAAAGTAGTTTTTCATTCATTACATTACATTACATTTCATGAGCTTGATAATTTTATCCAAAGTGTAAACCAAATTCAATGCAACAAATTAAATAAACTTTGAAAAGTATGAACTTTTGCATAATGGGGTGAAATTTTGGTTGATTTTGGACTAAAGCTTAGAAGATAAAATGAGTCCCTCATAAATGATTAAAGCAATATCACCTCCAAAGAAGGTACCATAGAAGGCTATTTATCACCTATTCATTTATGTTTGTTTATGTTCCTAGTCAACATTTTCATCATTGCATTAATAATGCCTTTAATAATGTCTTTTTCTGCTTCTTCTCATCTTCATGAGCATGCTTTCTTAGCAGCCACAGTTCTACACTTTGGGAGTTTCAATTCTTCTATCACTTATCTAGTTATGTGAAGAAGTAGACTAACTTATTTGACTAAGCAATATAACAGTTGTCTTTATTTTTTTATTTTAACATTAATATAAAATATTCATTAATTTTACTAATAGTTATAATTACTATTTTCAAAATAGTATAGGAGTGGTCTATTCAAGAGAGAACTGGATTAGAAATTAGTTTATTATTTTTAAATAATTAAACTTTAATTAAACTGGGACGGAATTAACAAAATTAGAATAAATTCAAAAAAATTAGTTAAATTTTTTAATCGAACCAATTTTGACAATTTTTTTTAATATACTATTTTTTATAAAAGATATAATATATATTATTTTTTTATCTTATTTTAAATTTTTAATATATTTTGTATTTATAATTTATTTTATAATTAATGACAATAATTTTTATTATTTTTCTTTTTTTCTTATAAAAAATATTATTTTATTAAATTTAATGAATTGATTAAACTTTGAACTCATCTTCACCGACCGATTTGATTAGCGATCCAATTTTAAATTTTTTTTATCTACATAACTCTAGTCAAGATTTTATTTGAAATGTGTCTACTACTTAACCAATTACCTTTTTTTAAAAGCTGGGTTATATTTATGGTAAATCAAACAATGATAAATTAAAACCAAACTTTTCCTCAGATGGATTCTAATGTGGTGAATTGAAACAAATGATATATTTATTAAACATTAATTATTACTATTAGATACATTATAAAATATTTAATGCATTATATATAATTTATAATCATTTTTTTTTTCGGTTTTCATCTCCTGCTATGATTATATTTATATAACTGTGTTACACTTTATCGCCTTAGTAATTGTCTTTATTATATAAAGATAAATATCAACAATATAGTTTTATTGTATTTTTAATATATAAGTTAAACTTTTTTACTTCGTAAATCTAAGTCAATGACAAAAAAAAAATCACATTTGAAACAAACATGTCCTAGGGAGAATTTAAAGTTTAGAATTTTAGTTAATTATCAAATCGAAAAATCCTAAAAATTCGTTGAGCCAATCCAATTTTGTCAAGCAAATAAAGAAGAGAATGAACATGTAATATAGTGTAACTAATTCGTTATGCGGATATAAATTAAGTCAATGAAATAGAAACTTGGGAGAAGATGAGTTTTTTAGAGTTGAATTTCTTAAGTGAATCCAATTTAGTTTCACGAATCTTAGAGGCAAAATTTGGACATCTTGAAATTTGAATATTAATTTAGTGAATTGTATATGTAAACAAAATTAATATGAAAATTAGATATCTAATAAAGTTAATGTTTGTTATGTTTAGAAAACCACAATCTATTTTTAGATTTAAAAAAAATTAATAATGAGAAATGAATAAATTAATTTATCATATTGTTAAAATAAATTTCGATTCATTAATTGTCTTCATTATAATAACTAAAACTGATTTTTCTGGATGATTGTTAAATAATAAATAGTTATTAAAAAGTATTAGTAGAATAACATAAGAAATAAAACTAATCTTATATATTATTAAAAACATTATATTAGGATGATTGATCAAATTTGAGCCAGCAATAATTTCCTAAGAAATTTAATCAATTTTTTTACTATATTTGGTTTTCATAGGTCAATTTCATAATATCATCATGAATTATTGTAATTATTATAGTAAATATTGAACAATTTAAATAAAATTAAACATATTTTCTTATATCACATAATTCTAACTCTAAGTGGATATGACAAATTTTTCTCTGTATTGTAACAAAATTCCATTAAAAATAGTCAATCAGATTTTATACAAAAATTCAACCATAAAAAAAAATTAACCACAAACCTCCATTTTCACAATTTTCCTATATTTGCAACTGAACTTGCATTGTTCATTTATGTATATGACTACAATAATTAGTAACAAAAACTATAATCACTCCAAATGTCTAACAACAATACTAAAGAAAAAGAAAACATAAAATCTAAAGTCTACGAAGAAATTTTTATCATCTATGATAGTTTTACGCATTTAGTAGATACTTAAAACTAATTCTATTATCAATTGACAAATATTTCACCACCACAAATTCTCTGTTGCTAGAAATCAGACCTAAAATTTTCTGACATATATAACATCGTGTCTGAGAGGTAACATTGTGCAACTTAGATATCTGAAGCATTTTCCTGATCACATCATCTCTGAAAAGTGACATCTCGATAACTTAATCTATTTGAAAAGTGTTATCTCTACAATACGATATGATGTGATATTTTTCCTCCATTTCATTGACCTTAGTTTTTTTTTTTTTAATATAGAATTGAAGAAAAAAAAAAAAGGAAATCAAGAAAGAAGAGGGAAGGCCTTGCCCATGGCGTTGAGATTGACACAGAAACCAACCAAATCCTGACGATAAGGTAGATACGACCTTCTCTTATCCTCTCTTCGCATCTCTCTGTTCCTCACATAAAGCGCTTCATGTGCCGACACCGCCGCAATCACCGGAAACCTCTTTCCACCGCTGCCACTCGCGGCAATTTTCTTTCCGTTCTCCGATTTCTCTCCTTTCTTCTTCGACGAATTCACCGACGGCGTCAAAAACGCCACCGACTCCTTCCCCTCGCTGTTGCTCCGACGCAGAAAATCCATAAGCTTCCACCGCTTCGACGACGACGATCCCGTCGATTTACTCTTCCGGCACGGCGTCGATGCCGGCGAAGGTTTCGGCGTCCAGACGCAGTACGTCCCCGGCGGAACATTCTCCAGTTCGTCCTCCACCTCCGACGACGAGCACGACGGCGAATCGTCCAGCAGAAGCTTGCCTAGCGTAATCTGAATCGTCTCCTCGCTGGAATCTCGCCCTCCGCCGTTCTCCACTTCTGCGACGAGCTGGCGATCGAAGACCGGAAACGACGGAATTTCGGCTTCCACCACTGGTTCCAAGAAAACACCGTCGGCTACCGTGCGAAACGCTACGAACTCGAAGTCGGTGTCGTTTTGGTCAAAGCGATCGTCGGTTCGAGTGACCTTATCTGCGATGTCGTCGAGCGTGTTGGAGGAATACGCGCTGAAGCTTGGACACACCAACGACTCCATCACAGTCTCATGTTCTTCTTCTTTCTGCATGTTCTTCCCTTCTCTTTTCTCTTTAATTCAATTTTATTATTATGATTTAGTTTGTTCTCTTCTGAGAAGCATGAAACGAGTTAGGTGGTATTTATACACCGAAAAGAAGATACAACCAGCCACCAACACTCTGGGTTTCGTATTTTTTTAAATAAATATAAAATAGTGATTATACTAATTTTTTTAATAAAGAATATGATTTAATTATTTAATCATTATTTTGTAAATTTATTAAAATAATAATTTATTAGTAATTAATTATTGATTATGTAGCTGTTTCTTTCTAAGGCTGATTCACACCTCTGTTGACCAATGACCATATGGAACATGTTTACACTTTATACACATCACTTCATGCATGATGCATATACATATATTGCCAAAGAGAAAACCTTTTTTATTTCTTTTTATTTTTTGGCGTTTTCTTCTACCTTTGTATTTGTTTATATCTTCAGACACGATGAAAGTGTCTAACTCGGAATAAAAATGTTGTCTTATTTAAATTTATATTTTAATTTAGAATTTAGTTATAATCTAAATATAAAACACAATCTATTTTTTGACCCACTTATGTATTATTAATTTTGTTAAAATTCTTATTTTTGTCATAAATATTTTAGAAGTGATATTTATTTGTTTAGATAATTTTAATTGATTTGTGGCATAAAAACTCTACGGATAATATTTCAAAAAATGTGTATGTACAAAGATTTTAAATATTATGTAAAAGAAAATAATTATTTAATATAATATAAAATACAATAATTTTATAATATTAATAAATACAATCATAATCTCAAAAGTAGATTAATTCAAAACACATTTTTACATCTTATAATAAATAAATAAATAGGAATGAATTCCAAAATTAATATATTTTAAAAGAAAAATTACTCAAATAAAACTTATAAAAAATTATTTATCTAAATAGATATGGTTATTGTTCCTACTTAAATTTTCTCCCTTTTTCATAAATTTTTTATTTTTTTGTCTTTTTTCATTCACTGCTCTCTTTTTTTCATCTTAATTTTTTTCTTTCTCTCTTTTTTCCTACTTATTCTCTTAATTGAACTATTATATTAAAATTTAATAAAAATATATTAAAGAAAATATTTTAAAAATAATATTAAAATTTAAAAATATTAATTAATTATTTAAAATTATGATAACAATAAATAATTTGATTCATGACAACGTAAATAATTAATTTAAAATATTTTATCATAATAAATAATTATTCATCTAATTAAATATATCAAATATTTATAAATTAAATATATTTTTTATTTAATAATTACATCTGATTATAATAATTTTGAGTTGTGATAATTAATTAAATTAGAAATTTTTTAAAAATATTTATTAAAAAACACTTTAAAATAAATATTTAATTTTCCTTAATAATTATAACATAATAATAGTATTTATAACATCTAAAATATATCATATAATTTTTTTCAAATATAATATTTTAAATTATGATATTTTTGGATTATTTAAATATTATTATTTTTCAATAATAATAAAAAGCTTATATTATTAAATTTTAATAAATTATTTTCAATTGAAGAATAAAATGGATAAAGAGAAGAATAAGAGAAAGAAAAAAGAAAAATAATAAATAAATGAAAAGAGAGAAAATAAATAAGGAAATAGAAAAAAACATATATATTATGTTATATTAATTTATTTTTTTATTAAATTTTATATATGATCAGTAAATATGTTTAGTTAGATAAATAAATCTAAAAGAATTTATCTAAATAATTTTTCTTTTTAAATATATTATTTATAATATTGATTCGAGTGTTTGTTTTTTATTGACTAAAATTTTAATGGATAGTTTAGTAACGTGAAAAAGTAATATATAACCACACTTATGTTGTTCACACAGCACGAAACTTATTTTGTCTTGTAATATTTTCCATACTTCACTACTAGATTTTTTTTTCTATAATTTTTTATATAAAAATTCATACAAATTACATACATTTTCTTGTAAATTTTATAAAACATAAAAAAAATCTCACATAATATATAATGTTTTTTTGACAATGTATCTAACGATTTGGTGCTTGATGTGTTCCACTAGAAAGGCTAATAACTATGAAAGTTACTAATAATTTGTGTGTTGGATTAGGTATGACACATGAAAATGACAAAACGAGAATAAAATTAAATTATATATTTTATTTTTATGGCAAAGAATTAAATTGAGGGGTTGGTTGATGGGGAACTTCAAATAAATTCCCACATGAGAAAAAAATAAAATCAAAGCAATAAAACACAAATCTTGTCATGCCTTATTTTAGTAAGAAATGTGATAGATTAATTAGGTTAAAGATTTGTGAAGTTGTTTATCATTGCTTTCTCTATCATATTATATAAAAAGAACAATATTTTATTAACTTAGCTATATTCCAACACACAATTTAATTAATATTGGATATTCATAATCCTTGTGCACAAACTTGAGGTAATCCTTGTGCACAATTTAATTAAATGAACACAATTTAATTTAATTAAGAGTGTGTTCATAAAAAAATCATTCATAATTTAAAATTTAAGAGTGTAACCACAGGAGAAATTTATTATCTTCATCTATATATTTATTCATTTCATATATATGGAAATCCAAGTGATCATATAATTAGGTTTTCTTAATTTCGAATGATAACTAAGATTATCATAATTAACTTGTTTAATCCATTACTTTTTCATCAAATTAAATTATTTTAAGAATAATTTTACCATAACTTATAACTAATCACTATAAGTTAATTTACCTAGCTTTTTCTTTTATTTACTATTTTAATTTTTTTACATAATTTTAAATTAGTAAAAAATTAAAGCTCCACAATTACTTAATAAAGTATTTGTTCACAAAGACAAAAATAAGATTTATATAAAAAGTTACACACACATATATATATATAAATTTTTTTAAAACCACTAATTTTATACTCAACACTTCTAATTAATCGATTAACTTGATAACTATGAATTTTTAATTAATTTATAAACTATAATAACATGTAAACCTAATTATGAGTTAGTTTTGATAAATATAACCTAAAAAGTTAGCAGCCATTTCTGTTCTAGAAAAGTTGCTCCACTTATGCGCACACAAGAACCGTATTTGACTGATATATTAAAGTTTATGGTGTATTTAATTATCCTTTTTTTTCCTTAAAAAAAGTCTTTTATTTTTTAAATGATTTTCTAATATTAAAAAAAAATCAATATGCTTAAAATAGGAGTTAAGTTAATTAATATAAACGTGTTTCACATTCCATGATTCACGAACACAAGTTAGTTTGGTAATGGTTTTTCCGTGTAACATGGGATATTTTTCCATTTTGTAATTGATTAATTAATGAATATTCTACGTAGAAATTAATAAACTCTTTGGCACACTAACCCTAATAAATTGTGCGTGACCCAAGAATATTGGGTAAGTGGGAAAGTTAGTCCAGAAAGTTGGGTGCATGCAATGATGACAAATGGGTGAAGTTTCCACTTTCCACCATTTTTCCGAAAGCTTGATGGAGTTTGAAAGTGTTTGATTTTAAGTCTCCATTGATTCATTCTAGAATTAATGAATGTGCCCATAAGCTGGACTTTGTCTAGAAGAATTTATATCTATAGTCCAATAATCTATGCATATCTTAATTTTTAGATTAAAGAAAAGTAGCACGATGAATGGGAAAGTGTGAGTAATATATATTAGTTTATTATTAAGTACAAACATGTTGTCATTTTGGATCCGTATATATTATAAATTAAGCTCACAAATCAAAACCTCACTTTGCAAGAAATCTCATAATTGAATATTGCATCCACTATACCTTCCACTTTGAATGTGTCTATCTAAACGTATATGTTTTAATAATTTTATTTAATTTTAAAAGAAAAACTTATTTTTATAAGACATAATAATTTATTATAATCTTTTTTTTTTTTAAGATTTTTTATTTATAAAATTCGAATTCTAGGTTTTTCTTATAAAACTAGAACTAAAATACGTTAGACATACCCAGAGTATTATACAACGTGAAAAAAAATAAAGAGGGGGCATTTTCAGGTTTGGTGAAGCTTGTATATAAATATTTGAAATACTGACAAAAATTAATTAAGCAGAAGACCTGGTGTTCTTGAAAGTCAGAAACGATTAAATAAATTTAATATTAATAAATATTACATTTCCAATAGCACGAAAAAAAAAATCTAGACGTAGATGCATGATAAGGACATTATAATTTCATAAGAGATTATTTCTTAATTAACTTTATGAGTTCACATAAATGGCATAATATTGTAACATACGTACCCACCAAAACCTTTACTATAATATAAGTTGTATGAAAGAAAAATATAATTACAAGTAATTAATTAGCATTCATATTAATGTTTAAGATTTGGAATGGAACTACTAAATTATATAGAACTTTCTATTGGATTAAGTAAAAGTCACCGAAATTAAGTGTAAACTAGATTGAGATTCTCTTGAATATTTACATTTTTTTAATCTATTATAAAAATTTCAAATTAGCTTCACTTTAAACAAGTTGGCAAGCTTTTAAATATACAAACGTATTATTATTATTATTATTATAAATTAAATAATTTTAATATATGATGAAGTTAACTTTTAATTTATTTTTTCTTCTTTCTATACAACAAATTTTGGGTTCACTCCCATTTTTGCCAATTCTCTTTGTTTTGATTTTTGTTTTCCTCTCCATTCAAAAGAGTGTGCATATCCCTACCATGAATGAATGGTTAGTAAAATAGTGATGATTACATTGCTACATTCTTGAATTAATATGGCAACTATAAAGTTACACTTTTTAATAAGAAAAGCCTTTCATGGGGTCTAAAGATTTTCTTCTAAAAAGTACTAAAGATTTTCTTCTAGAAAACACTTAATTTAAGAAAAATTAATAAATATATTCAAGAAAAGATATATATACACTCCCACGTGCATGCAGCCTCACAAACTAGTAATGATCACAAAACAATGAAACATGATAATCACTTTGCAAATTCAACTCCGAAAGCTTAAAACTTAATCTTTTGATTATTTGGGTTGAGAGCATTTTGCTTAGATAAACTTATGCTCTAAGTCAAGCCGGTTTACTTGATTAAAGTATCATCTTTCTAGAAGAATGACTTGAACATCTACTTTATGGTAGGAGCCGTTAATTAATATTATAAAGATATTTCTAAGTAATGTAATGAACTCTAAACTTTTAAAAATTAACAAATAAACCTACCATTTCAAAATATTTTAGTAAAAATTTGATATAAGTAATAGTATATTCATTTAACTATAGTTTATAAATGGCCTCAAAGGTGACATTTTTTAAAAACAATCTTATTTAGTAAAGTTAGATAATAAGTTTGCAATGAACAGCCTCCGAAAACCATATGAAAGTGGTGGGTTGTGTGGATAGCTACAAATAAAACTAAATGATTTTATTTTATATTGGTCACCACAGTGCCTTTCTTATTTTTAATATGAATGATGGCTGCATGAGACAGAATATACATAAGAATTAATGATGACAACGTTCCCATGCAGCCTTCTTCTTTTCTGTCCTACCATCCCACTGATATATTAAAAATATGAATGAATGTTAGAAATTTTGTTTTACCATATATTAACATGGAAATGAAAAAATTAAGTTATGGAAATGACAGGTAGCTAAAACCTCTTACTAGAAGAGTCTGCAATAGGAGAAATAAGAAGAATACATTGAATGAGAACCTTGCATAATTGAAAGAGTTAATAATTAACCGCAGTTGGTTAGTTATAGTTGGGTGAGTATTATACAAAAATAAGGTTGAAAGTGAAGAGTATGGAAAAAATTGAAGTTTCACATCAACTAGAGATAGTAAGTATGTACAATTTCAAGTTCTAAGAATGGATGCTTAGAAGCATTTGCAGTTCACTACTCCTATTTCTTATAGTAGTTCCCTGTACTTGTTTAGGTTACTAACGATCCTAATCAGGGGAGAGGAAAGTAGTAAAATCCAAGTAGACAGAAACTTGACGACGATAAATTGGTTTTGTTTTATGCTTCCACATACATCGTATACAAATGATGAAAACTAGATGACAATAAAGATCATGTATCTAAAATATATTGTAAAATATCTAATGCTTCTTCCATTAACAAATATATAGGCCTTTTTTGGTACAAGTACTCAAGCTTTACCTATCAGGTAGGTGCTACACAAATCCTGCCTCTGCTAATCTTATAAACAAATGGAAAAGCAACAAGTTAAAGCTGTGTGTTGCTCACTACTTCAATTCCTCTTTCCATCTCAGCAAGAAAACCATTACAAGGTTCTAAGAATCAATGTTTAAAAGTATTTTCATTTCACAATTTGTTTGTTTAAGGTTTACTCTCAGATGTAGGAGTTTTCCCGGGAACTGTATAGGAAACAAAATCAGATAACACAATTTCAAGCCCTTGTACTTATTTTCTCTGTATAGTATCATGGTACACTGCTGGAGACCAACTTTGAAAGAGCTATGGTGAAATAGGATAGAAACACGCATACCATCCAAAAGGTTACCATCGCTTATTCAAGACATTTAAATGAGGGGTCAAAAGGAATATCACGAAAGACCAGGAATTTTGTTCATTGTCCTGCTGAGAATCCGGGGCCAGCTGAAGTGGGTGTCTTCTACTCCCTCCATACATAGAAACGAATACTGTAAAGAGGAGTGTGATTAGCACAGGATCTCAGCTTCCATTTAAATCATTAATTTAAAAATAAAGACCAAACGAAAGAATATGTGGAACATCATACATACATTAGCATATGAAATTTTATTGAGCTGCATGTTTGGATTCTTTTTTTCAGTAAAATGGTAGTGCTAATGCATCACGATGTTAATTGCCATCACATCTAGCTGCATGTTTAGATTCAAAAAATGTGAGAATTCAAACAAATTTCAGATAAATTACAGCTTAATCATATTGACTTAAGGACACACTGCAATCACGTAGGACTTAACAGTTTCAATTTACTATGCTCAGTGTCTGATATACTTAAATGACAAAATCATGTAGAAGAAGTCCCAGATTACAATCACGTACGGGATTTGATTTGGTAAAAGTGTTGCAAAGGTTACATTACTGTAACATTGGGCGTGTATTTATATTGTTAGTCATTCAAGCCTAATTAATCATTAGTTTATGATACATCCACTGGCTTGCAGAACGGTACTGGAGAAACATCAATGCCAAAAAGATTAGGTATTACAGTTATGTCTAAAAAGAACAGATGCTGCACACATTAAACAAGTAATAAGTTGAAGTGCTGCAAATGCTAAGAGCAAAGTGAATGCTCTTGTGCCTTTTGGAGAGACTTCTTGTCCCCTTGTTTTTCCAAGGATGAATTAAAAGTGATCACTACCTCTTTCATGTTTTAGCTGAATAAACTAAAAGCATATCTGTAAAAGGAAAGGAAAAGAAAACCCGCTTAAACATTATGAGATGTTTTTTTTTCCTTTAGATGACAAAAACATACACAACATTTTGTAAGAAATACGAAGTAAGATAAAAGAAGGATGATTGTGTCAAATAAAACAATTTACCCTAACAAACTAAAGGAAGACTATGCCCCAATAACTCCGAAGTATAAAGTACTCTTTCCACACTCCATAACTTTTGCACTTCACTTCCTTCACGATTTTCATAATGTCCTAAATATAGGAAACACATTTGGTTGGGATTCAATTTAAATAGTAGATATTGATGATAGAAATTTTGCACGTAAATCAGGATAATAAAACATCGTATTCCTTTCTTTCAGCTCAAAATATTCCTATGTATTCTGTTTCCTCTTATTTTTTCTGTCATAATTCCAATAATAATAAATATTGATCAATAAAACATCAAATTCCTTGCTTTCGGCTCAAAATATTCCAACACATGCTGTTTCTCCTTCTTTCCTATCTTATGTTTTCTGTCATAATTCCAACACTAATCCATGTAAAAAATATTTGTTAGGGAAAGTAAAACCATTCACCTCTAGTGAAACTTATTAAATGTACCTTAAGTACTACATCCCTACAGATGAATAGAAAAGAAAACAAGCACAAATTTTTGCAACTTCATAAGGATCATTATATATGCTCATCTGTTTTTGTCGGAAAGATCTATAACATAATTTAAGAAGCGCGAACTAAGAAGAAAGAAGGCAAAGTGTGGGCAAGAAAACAAGTTTACCTAACAAACTAGTTAAAGGAAGATGATGCCTCCATAAATCCCGAACAGCAGAGTACTCTTTCCCGAATGGATGCCACATGAAGAACTATTGCACTACACAGCCTTCTTGATTCTGAGTGTCCTAAATAAAGGAAATACAATTGGTTGGAGTTAAATTTCAATACTGGATATTGATATTAGAAATTTTGCATAAAAATCAGAATATTATAAAAAGAAACTGAAACGCGAAGAAAGTAGCTGAGCCATGATGCTTAAACAAATGTTGTCAGTTTACTCGTAACATATGTTGTTGTTTGTAAATGCAAACTAGAGGGTGAAATATTTGCAATAAACAAGATTGTATCTGAAAAGTTGCAGTGATGGTGTAGAGAATTGGCACCTGATTAAGAGCCAAAGGAGTGAGAACTGGTTCATGTCTAATTTTTAACTTGTGGTTATTCGCCAATATCCACTTGTTCAATATGAGCAATCTTTCCCCAATCTTCACCTTCGTGTTGCTGGCAACGCTGTTCGAGCAATGGACAACCACAGATTTGAAGAGTTGAAATGGATTTGGGCAGACCCTCCTCCGGTAAGCATTGGAGGCTGGGGCAGTTACAAAGTCTCAATGTCTTGAGAGAGGAGAGGTGACAGAGACCCTTGTAGTCCAGTTTTTTAAGATCTGGGAAATCAATCAATGCTAGATAGCTAAAAGAGAGTGGTAGAAAACCTTCATCGGGAAAGGACTCCACATCCATTTTTTGAATAATCAGTGTTTCTAGGCATGTGTTGGCATCCAAGGTCTCATTCAGTGAAGCAGTAAGTTTGAAACTTGAGAGAGACAAATATTTTAGATTTGATGGCAAACCTCCATCTGGGAACATCTCCACTTGTGGACAATCCTTTATCCACAGCTCAGTAAGAGAGGGAAGCAGGATATGCATGCTTTTAGGCAATAATTTCAAATTCTCCAATCCCTCCAGTTGAAGTTTTGTTAACAACGGCGCAGATAATCCTTCACTGGGAAATGATTCAAATTGAGGGCAATCGGCAATTATCAGATCACCAAGACGATTATGAGTGTGCTCCTGTGAAATCATTTGTAGGTTAGGACAACCGTACAGCTGTAGAAACTTTAGTTTTGGGAAGAGATCTAGCGGAAAGGTTGTTAGAGAGTTACAACTGTTCATGATCAGAAAATTTTCAAGCAAATTGTAGCAATGACTCATGGGAATATTCGGAATTGGGTTAGTACAGAGGCTCAAGGCTTGAAGAGAATTATCAGATACATTGTGCCCACTCCTTTTGAGGAACGATGCTTCGATGCTGTAATAAATAAGTAGTTGCTTCAAATGAAGAAGTTGCTCCGGCACAACTTTTAGCTTGGGACATGTCTCTAAATAAAGACGTTCAAGACGTGAAAAAGCAGCAGTTTTACATTCCCATTCTTCCCATTCCATCATTTCCTTGAAGAATAATGCTTCTAAGGATGGAAATGAAGAAGAGCCATTCCCATAAAATTCAGCACCAACGCTCACTATTCCATCAAGCCCTCTAATTTCTAGGGTCTTCAGAGATGACAAAAGTCCAAGGGCAGGCAAACATAGGCAATATTTACAGTCCACCAACCGTAAGGACACCATATTTGACAATGAATCATCGAATAGCCAACGTGGGAATTGTGTACCACCATAGTTACTTATTGACAAACTCTCCAAGTGTTTGGAAGGTTGTAGATTCTCAAGTACTTCCTTTTCTTTCCTTGGATCATCTGGGATGTGGTCTGAATTCCATTTCAATTTTAGTCTGACAAGGTGCGTTTTATTTTTCAAATCCACTGCCATTGCATATGAAGGATTCACAACATTCTGTAGCTGCTCAATGGATAGCTCACGAGGATTGAGTCCTCCTAACTGTTTAGTACTACACTCACTATCTATATCCACATAAAACTTGCTCAGTACTTGAAGATTCTTCAATTCTCCCAAATGCAGTGGCATCTTTGTCACCTTTGTATGTTGAAATTCAAGGTAACGCAACTTGGTGAGTTTATGCAAATTTGGGGGCAGCTCCTCTAGATTGAAACAATAATTCAGGTTTAGTATTAACAAATTATAGAGGAAACAAATTGAATCAGGTAGTTTTCGTATCCCAGTCCTCGAAAGGTTTAACGAATGGAGATATTTAAGATCACCTACAGAGTCGGGCACCTCTTTAAGCTGAGAACAACGAGACAAAGATAAGACACGAAAGAATTTAAACTGGGAGAACAATTCATGTATCGAAATGTTGAATTGCCAAGAATAAGGATCAAAATAAATTCCCCCAATTATTTTAACCGGCAAAAATGTACGCAATCTTTTAGCCTCAGTTAAACTCCCGAAACCATCAAAATATTTAACGTCATCGCCTTTAAATGAAAAATGACGGGTTGATTTTGGTATACATCTTCCTTTATCAAATTTTAACTTGTAACAGATGTCCCCAGAAACATATTTTGCCAAATCGTTCACAAGGTCATGCATCACAAAATGTCGTCCGTATTCTGTTGAACTTTGAAAGAAAGACCTTGATAATAGATCATCAAAATACTGTTCACCAACTTCTTCTAGACTCTTGCTCTGTTGAGGGAATTGAAGAAAATTTTCTGCCATCCACAATAAAATTAATTCCTCCTTGCCAAACACATAATCTTTCGGGAATAATGCACAATAAGCAAAGCACCTCTTGAGATGAGAAGGAAGGTAGTGATAGCTCAGATATAGAGAAGGAATAATTTCACTGTCTTCTTTTGGTAAGTCCCATATGTTGCTTTCCAATACGCTTTTCCATTCTGAAATGGATGACTTTGTGCGTAAAAGACTTCCAATTGTTTTCAATGCAAGCGGTAATCCTTTGCACTTTTCAACTATCTTTGCACCAATCTCCTTTAACTCATCATTCAACTTGAGCTTATCATCTTTTAATGCGTGCTTTTCAAAAACATCCCAGCAATCATCCTCTTGTAATTTCCCCAGCCAATGCACTTCAGAGCGCATGTTAGAAGTAACTTTCTTACTGCGTGTCGTGACAAGAATTCTACTACCTTGAGCCCCATAGCTAAGAGGAGTTCGCACGGCTTCCCATTCTTCTCGTCTTTCTGACCAAACATCATCCAAAACAAGAAGAAATCGCTTCCCTGCCAATTTTTCTTTCAATCTTCCATGAACCATTTCTAAGTCTCCGCTATCATCTTTAGACTTAGTGATTGCCTCAAGAATTGCTTTTGTCACTCTCAAAACATCAAAATCATCTGAAACACAGACCCACGCTTTGATATCAAATTTAGCCTCATCCATCCTTGGGTCATTGTATACATGTTGGGCGAGTGTGGTCTTACCCAACCCACCGATGCCCACAATAGAAAGTATTGATGGCTGGTTACGATTGTCGGCTGCAGATGTGAGCCAATTAAAGATCATTTCTTTGTCAGCATCTCTGCCATAAATAACACTTTCAACCACCAATGAAGTTGATGGCAATTTCTGTGACACATTACTACCTGATCTAACACTAGAATAAGTACACTCTTTCAAACCAAGAGCACTCTTTTGCCTTGCAAGATATTCTAGTTTTTCCAGGACTTCTTTCATCCCTGAGTCAATTTTCTTGTTAAATGAACTGAAAGTAGTACTGAAGAAATTTGATACCTTGTAAGTGAAGGTTTGGGGTTCAAGTTCAGCTTCCACTTCGCATTTGGTGACTTCATAGTCGATTTCATCCAAGAGATCCTCTGCATCAAAGACAGCATCTTTGACAGCAAAAATCCATGCTCGAACGCGTGGATCTCTGAGCTGCTTTTGTTCTGCATCATCAACAAGAACATCGATGGAGTGCAGCATGATGTTCAAGTTGTTGAGCAGCTTCTCATCAAGTTTTCTTCGACGAAAGAAGTCTAAAACTTTAGGAGAGGCCAGTCTGTCAAATGCAACCTGAAGGAAAGCAGAAAGAAGAGCACCACCAACAAATTCTGCTGCCATGGTAGGAGTTGGAACGGGAGTGGATGATGAAATGAAGTGTCTAGTTTGATGAAAAGGGTTCACTGCAGTGATGCTATACTGATGAAATGAGTAGTTAGCTATTTTGGGAAGAAGGATGACTTGACTTTAAGGTTAGTGGAACTTAATTTTCTTTTTCTTAGTTTTGTTCTACAATGATTCGTTGCATTCACATTTTCAGCCAGTCGTAAACAGTGATCGTTAGATTAAGAATGGATGGTTCAAATATTGATAAGTTTGATTCATCCATATACTGCGACATTCATCGAACGGGTTTGATGAAATTAATGGGTGAAAGTACGGAATCCATTATTGGATGTCTGATAAGATAAACGTTCACAGCTGTAATCCATTAATAAGACAAGAAAATAGTTAGGAAATATTGCTTTTAAATATTGACAGAGAAAAAAAAAAATTTACGAAAATGATAGGGCTAAAACCTCTTATTATTAGGAGAGTTACAGTGTTTGATGAAATGGCATCAGTAACCAATTTAAAAATATTAATTATAATAAGAAGTAAGTAATTTTCAAAATACAATCGATTAAACTTTGATTTCCTATTTCATCCTAATCAGATAGCTAGGATGCATGAGAAGTTAGACTGTAGTGCAGGTCTAAAAGTCTCCATTCACAATCCTAATCTATTTTCAGGGTAGATCCTATTCTATGAAGTTTGAATAAAAATATTTGATTAATTAAATTATAGATTTATATAGTGATACAAAATATTATATATTCATAACTTCTTATATTTAGTTATGATTTATTGGAGTAAATATTATAAAATTATAGTATATGTGTATAAAAATAACATGAATAAAAATTATAGAATGAATTCTATGTTTTTTAATTTGGTACCAGAGCTTATAACTTTTTTTTTTCTTTCTAAATCCTTGGAGATCTTAACTGGAGAGATGACAAAAACTAATTTCAATGGTTGTTCAATCTGAAAGTGTCTTCAACATAGACATCATCCTAAATGAATCTAATTATGACGTATGGTCACAACTAATGAAGATGCACATTGCAGAGAGGGAAAAATTGACCTATATCCGTGAGAAGGTGAAGTCTCCAATAGAGAATAACAAGGATGTGATAGTTTATACTGATACAGATTGGGCAGGTGCTCTTAATGATAGAAGATCAACTTCTGGATACTTTACATTTGTAGGAGGTAATCTTGTCACATGAAAAAGCAAGAAGCAGAAAGTTGTAATAAAATTGCGCGCGACATTGCTCACAACCCTGTCCAACATGATCAGATGAAACATGTGGAGGTTGATAGATTTTTCATCAAGAAAAAACTTGATAAAAATATTTTGGAATTGCCAAATATTCGATCTGAAGATCAGTTGACAGACATTTTTACCAAAACTGTGATAAGTCATATTTTTAGGAGAAGATCAGTTGACAGACATTCTTACCAAAACTGTGACAAGTCATATTTTTAGGAGATTATTGGACAAGTTGGGAATGTATGACATCCATTTACTAAGTTGAGGGGGAGTTTTGAGATAAAGATATTTTATTAGCTAAATTATAGGTTTGTATAGCGGTACAAAATATTGTATAATCAGAACTTCCTATATTTAGTCTTGATTTATCGGAGTAAAATATTATAAGATCATATTATTTGTGTAAAAAAAAACATCAATAAAAATTATAGGATGTGTAGTGCAGGTGGTAAGTCTCCATTCACAATCCTAATCTATTTTCAGGGAGACCCTGTTTGTGCCAACATGAGATAAATGAGAGAAACCTCACCTAATTTAGTTTCAACAGTTGACATTTGGTTTCACATGTGCCATTTCCCTGGCATCAAGTAAAATCCATGTAGACAGAAACTTGACGAGGATAAATTGGTTTTGTTTGATGCTTCCACATATACAGTACACAAATGAGGAAAACTAGATGACAATAAAGATCATGTATCTAAAATATATTGTAAAATATCTAATGCTTCTTCCATTAACAAATACATAGGCCTTTTTTGGTACAAGTACTCAAGCTTTAGCTATCAGGTAAGTGCTACACAAATCCTGCCTCTGCTAATCTTATAAACAAATGGAAAAGCAAAATGTTAAAGCAGTGTGCAATGCTCACTACTTCAATTCCTCTTTCCATCTCAGCAAGAAAACCATTACAAGGTTCTAAGAATTAATGTTTAAAAGTATTTGCATTTCAAAACTTTTTTGTTTAAGGTTTACTCTCAGATGTAGGAGTTTTCCCGGGAACTGTATAGGAAACAAAATCAGATAACACAATTTCAAGCCCTTGTACTTATTTTCTTTGTATAGTATCATGGTACACAGCTAGAGACCAACTTTGAAAGAGCTATGGTGAAATAGGATAGAAACACGCATAACATCCAAAAGGTTACCATCGCTTATTCAAGACATTTAAGTAAGGGGTCAAAAAGAATATCACGAAGACTAGCTGAAGAACCCGGGCCAGCTGAAGTGGGTGTCTTCTACTCCCTCCATACATAGAAACGAATACTGTAAAGAGGAGTGTGATTAGCACAGGATCTCAGCTTCCATTTAAATCATTAATTTAGAAATAAAGACCCAACAAAAGAATAAGCTGACGTGCTGCAAATGCTAAGAGCAAAGTGAATGCTCTTGTACCTTTTCTCTCGTTGTTTTTCCAAGGATGAATTAAAAGTGATCACTACCTCTTTCGTGTTTTAGCTGAATAAACTAAAAGCATATCTGTAAAAGGAAATGAAAAGAAAACCCGCTTAAACATTATGAGATGTTTTTTTCTTTTGATGACAAAAACATTTTGTAAGAAATATGAAGATAAAAGAAGGATGACTGTCAAATAAAAAAAACCTACCCTAACAAGCTAAAGGAAGACTGTGCCCCTCCGAAGTATAAAGTACTCTTTCCACACGCCATAACTTTTGTTCTTCACTGCCTTCACGATTTTCATAATGTCCTAAATATAGGAAACGCATTTGGGTTGAATTCAATTTAAATAGGAGATATTGATAATAGAAATTTTGCATGTAAATCAGGATAATAAAACATCATATTCCTTTCTTTCAGCTCAAAATATTCCTATGTATTCTGTTTCCTCTTATTTTTTTCTGCCATAATTCCAATAATAATAAATATTGATCAATAAAAAATCAAATTCCTTGCTTTCGGCTCAAAATATTCCAGCACATTCTGTTTCCCGTTCTTTCCTATCTTATGTTTTCTGTCATAATTCGAACACTAATCCATGTAAAAAACATTTGATAGGGAAAGTAAAACCATTCAACTCTAGTGAAACGGGTGAAAGATGTTACTAGAATTAAGAATTCGATATGAGTAATATCTAGAATCCTTAGAAGATTCTAGAAATGTTTGAAAGAAGAAGATAAATAATTTTAGAGTTAAGAAAATCTAGAATTATGTACAAAATCTATAATTATGTAGAATATTTAGGAGATGGTGGATCAAGCCTATAAATAGGCAATGCCACTTATGTAATGGAGTAAAAAAATCTAATACAAACTCCCACATATCTTATAGCACTTTGAAGATCAATTACTATCTTCCCTCGTACAAACTTTTTCCTATTTGTCCACCTCATTCTAAAAAAACTATTTTCTACACAAATCTCACTACTAAACATCAAACCATCTTTCATATCCTTCCTAAAATACTAACAGTAGTATCAGAGCTACGTTCGGTCACCTAATGGGCGTAGAGAAAACTTTTCGACTACCTTAAAAAAACCTAATCCCACTACACATTACTTCCAAAAGAAAAATTTCAACCTATGACCACTACTAACCAAACATCATCCATTCCAGTCCCTATTTTCAAGGGAGAAAATTATGATTTTTAGAGAGTCAAAATGAGGACATTTTTTTGTTCTCAAGATCTTTGGTACATCATAGAAGATGGGTTCACTATTCTAGAAGACATCTCAATTCTTACAACTACCCAGAGGAAGGAGTTGAAGAAAACCAAACAGAAGGATTCAAGAACATTATTCACTCTTCAGCAAGCCGTTGATGACACTTTTTTTTCCAAGAATAATGAGTGTCACAAGTGCAAAGGAAGCTTGAAATACAATTCAGGAGGAGTTTCAAGGAAGCGATGAGGTACGCAATATTAAACTCCATTTACTAAGAAGAGAATTTGAGTTAATAAGAATGAATGAATATGAGACCATAAAAGATTATTATTCTAGAATAAAAGAAATAGTTAGTCAGATGAGAGCCTATGGGAAAAATATTCTTGACAAGAAAATTGTTGAGAAAATTCTAATTTCTATTCTCCAAAATTATGATGCAATTGCAACTGCAATTGAACAAACAAAAGAGTTATCTAAATTATCAGTGACACAACTAATAGGCTCTCTTAAAGCATATGAACAAAGATTGAAAAGATGTGAAGAAGACTCAGTCAAAAATGCATTTCAATCAAAACTAAAATTACGATCTCAAAATGGAGGAAATAAAATTAATAGAGAACTTTCTAGGAATAAGGAATACTCTAGAAATTTTTCCAAGACTATTCAAGGAAAACATCCTCCATGTGGCACTTGCAAAAAGATAAGTCACTTGGAAAAAGATTGTTGACATCGAGGAAAACCTCAATGTCAATACTGTAAGAAATTTGGACATGTAGAGAAAATGTGTCGCAACAAAAATCATCAACAAGCAAATTTTGCCGAAGAACGGGACAGAGAACAACATCTCTTCTATGCTACGAGATGTTCTGATAATGAATCAAAAGGAAGATGATACTTGGACAACAGGTGTAGTAACCATTGTTGACTATTTTTACGTGTTGATATTTATTAAATAACTGCCCCGATTTCTAGGAAGAGTGAATGCAGGGGTGTTAGTTTTTCATCCACTATTTACGTAGGTTGTTAATCAATTTATTTGTAAAGGCTTATAAAGCCATCTCCAGTATCTGAATAAATATGCAGAATACATTTTTGAATTGCATCAGTCAATTTTGTTTGAGTTTTAAC